CACACACGCGGGGGGCGCCCTTCCTCCTATACACGCCTTTGCTTTTCTGAATTTTGCAGCTTTTGGACGGAAGGGATAGGAGGGGCGCGGCGCGGGCGAGCGGGCCCGAGGCTGAGGGCCTCGATGAGGCCGATCCGGCTGATCCGATACGATCCAACGAGGAGATAGATGGCCGAGCCCCCCGAGGGTAGGTGGGGTGTGGGGGGAGGGAGGGGGGCGCCCTCACGCCCCTCCGCGCGGGCCGGCCGGGAGGCACCGCTGCGCCACGCCGGTCTCCACGCGCGCCACCTTTCTATAGAGCAGTCTTGGAGCGTGAATGAAATTAACGTCACATACACCCCGGCGGCCGCTGCCATGGCCACCGCCGCCGAGCCCGAGGTCACTCGCCAGAACCGACGACTATGCCCTGCCGCTGCCATCGAATGATCAAAAGTTTACCGCCGCAAAGTTTCCACCACCAGCAGCGGCGAGGAGCCAGGGCTGGGCGGGCAGGGCCCGGGGGTTGGCTAAAGCCCGGGCCCAGCCAACCACAGCGGGCGGAGGGCCCGGCAGCGTCCCTCACGGCCAGTCTAGTTTTATTTATGAATAACTAACGCCTTCATTAGCGCGCCAACAGTGAATAATTAAAGACCTATTCGCAAATGCGCCGCAAAGCCCTGCAAAGTACTGCAAAGCGCCCGACAAATTAGGTACACGTGACGAATGAAAAAATTAAAAGGAATAATTTAAGTAAGACTTTGTGGGCCTATAGTGCGCGTGGGACTGGTACGTACTACAAGAACGTTGCGGTTAAGCAGCTTTGGCAGTACTCCAACAAAGCCGAACACCACCTTGAAAAAATCTTGTCGCTCGTGGAAGATCTCACTGCCCAGGTCGAGCGCGCGCCCGTCGGCGCGGAGGTAGGCCGCCACCTCAACAGCTGTGCGCCGGTGCGGCCTACCTCGCAGGCTGTACCGAGCCGAGACGCACGCCAGCCGGCACCACATCCACACAGGGAGGGGGGAGGAGGGGGAG